CAGATGCATGACCCCCCCCCCTCCGTCCAGGATGACCTTTCGACCGAACTTGAAATTCCTTGTAAGACGTGTTCAGGCAAGATTATGAAACACTGGAAACCATCATTCGTCTTCGGACTTGTTTTAATGTTAGAATGGGTTTATTCTGAAATTCGAACATAAGTTTGTTACCTAATCGTCCGCTATATTGCATACAGACCAATGATCAATACATGTGGAAATATAAGCTGGGCTCGAATAGTGCTTTCAAGTCACTATACAAAGGACTAACAAGGTGTACTATCCCTTCGTATGTGGGGGGAGGCTGATAACGGATGAACTCGATCTACTATAATTTCTTCCCGGGTAACTACTATGAACATACTACTTTTCAGCAAGTAAACAATATTCATTCCTAATTAGACACAACTGCCTTTTCCAATTCATCAATCTGATAGCATAGCCCTGGGGTGATTTATTTTGTTTCGGCTTCATTCGACTCTCAGGTCTTCCTTTCACCTTCTTTACCCACGCACATCCACCCTCACCCCAAAAAGGAGTTTACATGCACAACCTTGTTCATTATTATGCCCGGTAACTTCATACCCAAGTCTTTTGTTCATTCATACTGCATAAAATGATCGGCGGAGCCGAATTTGCGTGTTTCTGTGAGCTTGCATAGACACAGCTCAATTAGATCATCATCACCATCATCATCACCGTCATCATCGTCATCATCATGATCAATCGTGGCATTGTCGCCTCCTCGTTCCGGTTTTGTCAAACCTGCGGAACTGATGAGGTGAGAACACGGACATCATTGATGAAGTTAGCAATGGGTCAGTTTTTTGACCGTCCCTAAGGGAGTTAAACCGACTGACCGACAGGAGCCACTTGCTGGCAGTCCAGAAAGACGATAGTAGGGGAGGGTTGTTATATGCTGTGCGAAAGAATAAATCAAGTGATCTTTATTCCTGACAAATAGCACACAGCATTCCCAATAGTCACTTCAGCCATAAAAATGTGTGTGTGTGTGTGTACATATTCATGCATGCAATTAAATGGGTGGGTGTCATACGCAATTGTCCCGATTGATATTCTTCTCATATATTTCCTACCCCCAGGGAAGACGACAAGTGTGAGTGTTCCCCACGGCAAAAAACATCAACTGTTTAGCGACTGATTTCATTGTTCTCTGAGTCATGCCTTAGAAATAAGGGAGTGAGAGTGCTTGAGTGGGCGGTTGTGCGAGAGTGATTGCACACACGTATTGAAAACATACCAGTTGGAAGATGCTGATGATGACGATGATGACATCTATTTCTGTTTGTCTACTACCTCTCGGTATGATCATTTCCCGTTGCGATCTGGATACTAGCCATGGAGATACTACTTTAGACACAAGTTTTCAAACTCAACTCATTTGAGATTGGGTGAAAATTTTCAGCACAAGTTACGGTTTGAACTGATATAATAGGGACCTTCTTATGCGTTTCTGAGTACCAGATAGCATGCTGTTCAGTGTACAGCAGAAAAACAAACACTTGGACTGAGGGATCGACTGAAACTTGGTTAATGGTTGTTCTACCGTGGCTGAAAGTCATTGTTCGCCCACATCCAAAGTTAACCATCAGGTGTAAAATAGTGTAAACCCACAAAAATAAGGGGAATCATTGTGAAGTGAATACAACTGATAGCGTTACGTTGGCCACTCAGCGTGATTTGATGCATGAAGCCCTAAACGAAACTGACTAAAACAGAGAAATCGGGTTTGTTGAACAATGAATATTTTAATGATCCAAATAAAATTCTTCTCTCTTTGTACTGTACCCCAGAATTATCATGATGAAAGAAACAATGGAAGATTTTGGTAGAACTTCCAGTCCTAAGCACCGGTACGCTTCCAATTAGGGCACCGTTTTAATCTCAATTTATTTTGTTTATTGGTCCGACTTGGAATGTTTCAGATGAAGTTATAACTGTCGGATAGATGTACTGAGGTGAACCATACGTGTAACTCCATGAAAGTCAAGTCAAGTCAAGAGACCGCTTTAATTCGCCCCATGAGGGACGAACATTTGGCTGCCACGCAATCACTCATCTGTAGTGAAAATGGCATGGAAGAAAGAAAGGGACACGCTGCATATACAAACAATTAAGTAAATCCATCAAAATTTTAGTCTAAGGTTTTCAAGATCGGCCTTGGTAAGAAGCCGTGCAAGGTATGGTACTACAGAAGACTTGTATATTGTGATGCCTCCTGCCATATGCTTTTACCTGGAGCTGGTGGTAGATGTAGAGATACATTCACTAATATAAGAGTAAGGATGCTGAGATGGATCTAGCAGTATTCTGGCAGAAAGTTTCTGGATAGCCTTTAAGTGCTGTGAAATTATAAACTGCTCAATATGTTTGCCAGATATGCCATTGTATCGACATACGCGTTTGATGGATGTACGGATGAGTTTGAAGTCTTTGATCAGAATACTGGTAAAAATAACTGGGGATGCATAAAGTCATCGGGGAAGGACACAAGAGAAGATAATACGGTTTATTAAGTAAGTTGGGGTAGATACATATACATATACATACATATACAACTAGATAATGTAAAACGTTGGTTTCCTAAATTTGTGAAATGTCTCGACGACATGAGGAGATTAAGAAGGATTACAGAAAATAGTGATCACAAGGTATTTGACGGATCACGCTCTGGAAAATTGTTCTGAATTGATAATGACTTGCTGGCAAGAGTTCATCTCATCAATGTCATCCTTCATAAAAGAAAACAAGACATCTTTACACGTAAAGAACCCATTCTCAAGGTTGTAATCTGAAGACCAGTCAGTGAATAGTGAAATGTTATGCATAAGCCGGGGGTACCTGGAGGAATTCGAAAACTCCGTGTCATACACAACATCATCGGCATATCTAATGAGCAAACAAACATCAAAAGCAGGCATGGAAAAAATGCAGGTTAAGAATAAGAAGAGAGAGAAAATAGTATCGTAGAGAACTCCTTGAGTGGAGGGTAATACTGAAGAATTGTGACCCTTATACGAAAATACATTATACATATATGTGTATGTAATATACTGGTAAGTTACGGCTGAAAATGTTACCCGAAGAGAGTATGAAGACGTCTTGTTCTGTCAACACAATTGAAGGCATGACCAAAGTCAAAGAAACGTAGTTGAACAGCTTTACATTTTCTGTCCAAGTAAGAAGAAACAAAATGAATGAGGGACGCTAGCGAATCGAGGTTTGATCTGCAGCCACGATAGGCAAATTGATCGAGATCAGGTGTATTCAGCATGGACAACATATTTTGTATCAAAATCTTTTCTATAACTTTCA